TTTTTTTTTTTCTATTTCCCCTTTAATTTGAGTGTACAATGTTTGGTTCAACCTTCCAAAGCATGTGAAGATGATTCCAAGCATACGATTCTGGATTACTATTACGCCAGAAAAACCTTAACGTTGATGGCAAATGCAAGAACAAAGGAGCTAGCTAGGGAATATCCTATACTTTAACGGGAAATTTCCATCTTGTCTTCTTTAAGAAGTGGATTGATATCCAATCCCTTCCATATGATTCATTGATTGGGGGCATATACTTGAGAAAGAATACTTTTAAAAGATCATCGAAAATTCTAGCCGTTGTTCTACCTTCGCATATCACGCTTGGTACAACAAACTAGACCCAGGCCACCTGGGATATTTGCCAAGTATATGCTCTTGCTTTGCATCTTTCATGTATACAAGCACCTCCACCATCGTCATACCTTTGGTTTTGAAATGGCTGGTTGATTCCAATTCTATCAACCATGCTGGTAACCAAAAGTGCTGTCGAAGAATTTGGAAAGGGAAAAGAAATAAATGGAAAAGATTGATACAGATGTATATATATGATATGTAACTAAACGAATGAATTCTATATGTCGAGTGTTGATCCATGAATTTTTTATTACCATATTCAAGTATGCATTACTCTCCAATTTTGGGATCAATTATTGTAAGTGATTGAGATTTTTCTTACCTAGATGTCTAAGAATCACAATCCTGGAAAGAATATTATGATACAAATGGGTAAATCTAATCTAATCTAATCTAAATCCTATTTATTACTATGTACACATTATGATTCCTTTCAATTAGTTGTTTTGTGTGGTTCCAATTAGCCCTTTTTTTGTTTATTGGAAAGTTAAGGGGCCTTTCTTGTTTGGAGGGCAACTAGCAGGCAAGCGAATACCAGTGAACTGTGTAGGTTTTTGTTTTGGGTATAGGGTGCTGTGATGATTGAGGATTGCTATTTTCAAAATTGAAAGTAACATATATGAATCAAATTGTAATTTGGTTTCCTCTGTGGTGAATATAGTATTTAATTTTTTTTAAAAAAAAAATTAGCCTCTTTATTATCATATTACAAAGATGTATAATACCATATCATTACTGTATACAATTTCGGGCTGTAAGGATTCAACATTGCCTGCGTAGAATCATGCGCCTAATTCCCATGGCACGATGCAAAATACAAAAGAATGGTAAGTCACAAAGTTTTTGGCATCCTCATCCATGGTATTTTATTTCAGCTATCCTCTAAACATGGGAAAAGAATTGAAACAAGTAATTCATGTTTGGTCGTTTTCCATTTGTTCAATATTTAATCCTAAAGGTTATCTTCCAAGATGTGAGTAACTTATGGCCTAATCTTTCCTTTGTTCCTCTCTTTATGGTCAAAAAACATCAACGGTGGTCAAAAATGCTATGATTATTATTATTATTATTATTATTATTATTTATCTTTTTCACGATGAAAATAAAATATTATAAAAAATCATCAACTAATTATACAATTTACTCCTCGTTGATATCGGTGTGACTTAAAGTTAGTTTCGTGTAGGAATGTTAAACAAGCGAAGCAGAGGATGATGAACTGGATTTGATCATTACAAGTTTTAATTTAAAGTAATCGCTTATTCTGGGTTTCCCATCGTCAAACAAATTACGTTTTCAACCACACAGCATTGCATATCAGATACGTAGAATGGTATTCAACGTGAACTGCTAGAGGAAGCTGGAAAATTGGACAAGCAAGGTACGGCAGGAAATTAAAACCTTATCTTATGGCTTAATGGCATGCAGACTAAGCATGCATTAGCCCAACGGCAATGCCATGATTAATTAATTTCACATTATACCTTATCTTTTCTCTCTTCTAATTCCTCCAATAATATATCTCTCCTCCCAACAGGTCATTAATTCATCATTTTAATCACTTGATGATCCTCTGGATTTGGCAAGCACATACGTTAGTTTCATCATTTTAATTACTTGAGTGTATATCTAATTATCTCAATGACTATCATTAATTTAATAAACATTTCGAGAGAAATGAAAATGTAAAAATTAACAATTTTCATATACAGTTGAAAAAAATGTTATGTTATAATTTAAATTAATCTTATTTAATAGTAGTTAATTTTAATATTTTTAAAAATATCGAGTTCAAGTTGAGATTCTAATACCATAGAAAAGGTGGGATTTGGAATATGGGCGAAGTTAATATGAACAAATAAAAGCGGCAAAAGGGTGTACACCAAGTTTGGAAAGAAACAAATGAAGGGAGATGAAGGTCTGAATACCAAGTATATTTGCTCATTCACATCACATGCGCGGATGCAGAAGCCATCAACAGCCCTTGCTCATGCATTGGTTAACATTGGCCTTTTTCCACCAAAACCTTCTCACTGCAAGCAAGCCCAACTTCAACGAGGCCTAAGAAATTGAACCCCGACGTTAAGGACAGACACACTCCAACAATTACACAATCCATCCCCACATTATTTGCTCCTAAATCCAAACAAAGCCACTCCCACCGGCAACTTTTCCAGCCAATGATCATTTCACGACAAGCCAATCCTTACATGCAAAGGTGAAACTAAAACAATTTCGAAAGGGATCAAACAGCAAAAGATATTAAATATTTTAAATTTTTTTATATATTATTTAATTATCATTTATTTAAAAAATTAAATAAAATTCAAAAAACATTCTACATACAAAAAATTACACATTAACAAAAGTGATGATGTCATTTATATATATATATATGATTAAATAAAATTAAAAAAAAAGTCTCTCTCATATTTTGCATCTTTATGGGTAAGAGTGGAAGAAAAAATAATTTTTAAAATTAAAATAAATTATCTATTTACTTTGTATATTCTAACTTTCCTTTTATTTCTATTTGTCTCTTAAAGTACTCATTAACATATTAAGTTATTGAATTTAACTATTGAAACATAATATGTTATGATAAACTATTAGATTGAATTGTTAAGATATAATATGTTATGATAGGTTTAAATTTATATTAAAATTTAATAGGTTTGGATTAGTATACTCATTTTTTTAAAAAGAAATTTGATAGGCTTAACATATTAGTTTAGAATTTATTTGTTGAGCTTAACTAGCAATATGCTAACCATAATAACTCTAATATTATTAAGCATTTTGAAAAATAAAACTAATTATTAAATAAAAAATTATTTTAAAAGCTATTAAAAATATTTATAATATAAAATTATATTAAAAAAATATAATTATTTCATTCTATCAATTTGTATGTATATCCTTATTACTTAAAGTTTACAATATACATACTAAAATGAATTAGTTATTCTAAATAAAAAATAATATATTAATAAAATTTTAAGTAACAATATAACACTACAATTTATATTTAAAAATTATATAATAAATTATTTATTTTTAAAAATTAAAATCATAAAAAATAAAATATACACAACAGAACAAAGAAAAACATAACAAGTAAAAGATATAATTCACTTATTATATAATAAAAAATGATAAAAAAGGAATATGACTAACGATTTGTAAAAATTTGTAAAAAAAAATTATAAAAATTTAGAACATATAAATATAAAAAACAAATAATAATAATAATAATATAAATTTAAAAAAAATAAAAAAACTTTAAAATTGAACCAAACATATGAAATTATTTTATTATTCTTTATTTATATTAATTATTAAATAAAAAATTATTTTAAAAAGTTATTAAAAAAATTTATAAATTTTTTTTAAAATTTCGGTGCCATGAACCCCAATCCTATAAGGAGGCTCCACCTTTGCTGACATGCCATCTAATTATTTGTATACCACATTTCGTCAAATTACGAGTAACTTTGTCTACCACGTCAAGTTAAAAAGTAAGTTTGAAATGCAGACTATCTTGTCCACATTATTTGGACATAAAAGGTTCACATCTTCAATGTATCTAATTTGTTTAACTTATTTAAAATACATTTATTTAATTCTTATAATTCATGACTCATTTATTACATATTTAATTAATTATATTTAATAAATATTTTAGACGAAAATATATTCGTCATAATTATAATTAATATTTTAATTTTATTTAAGAAAACCATTTATTTAATAGGGAAGAGTTTAGGCCGTGGAATACTAAAAGAGCAAATAGAGACAAGGACCAATTCCAACTTCCAATATTTCAACTCGTACGAGATCAAATTCCAAAAACTACTACTGATAACAATATTTATTAATAATGGAAACGTCCATGTGGCAAACCAGAATAGCCTGAAACCAGCAACCCGGCCGCCATTTTGCCCCTCCATCTCTCCTTTTATCCCTCCGACCCTATTCTCTCTGCCGGGGGACCGCCTGGCCCTGCCCTGCCCTGCCCTGCCCTGCCCAGGTTTTGGTCAACATATCTCCTCTTCAATCTTGATTGGTACTCGCAGTATTTTCGAATCCCATGTTTTCCCAATTTTCTGGGACACCAAAGGCTTTCCTTCGTCTAACAACCTCATGAACAAGTAAACCAACAAACATTTTGCATCGGACAGCAAAAGACAGCGCTACGTTCGCTACCGGAAACGAATCCAAGATTAATCCTCAAACTTCCCAAAAACCAAAGTAAAGAAACAAAAATCCAACAAGAAGGAGAAATATAATGCCATCTCCAATCTTGCCCATATCAAACCATCCGTCCTCTGCATCGGCAGCCACAATGCTGCTGAAAGCTGAGATCGATCCCGACCCATCAACGACCCTCCTCATTTCTTCACAATTCGACACTGAAAAGGCTATTCCTATTAAGCCTCTTCTACCTAGAGCTTCAAGTTACAACAGCACAAGCAATATTAACAACTCTACTGCCTTCATCAACTACCAGCAGAGGAGGCGCCGGACTGCCAGCGATAGCTCGCTTGCTTTGCTAGCAGATGAGAGTCCCCGCCAGTCTATAAGCCGGGAAGTCGGCCATGCTGCTGCCGAGACGTTTCTCATCACTCGCTTAAGTTTGAAACTTCTAAGATATCTCGGGTACCATTCTTTTGTTGTGAAATTGCCCTCTTCTTAATGTTTTCTTTTTCAGTTTTCTTTGGACTACTTTTTTGTTTATGTTAAACGAATGTTGTCTTGATGGATTGACAGTCAAGTAGTATCTCTTGTTTTCGTGGATTGATCTTTCTTATATTGGGAGAGTTGATATTTGATTGATTGAGGAACGGATGTTTGTTCCATACGTTCTAGGAAATGCTTTTTTGTTGTGCTTAAGGATAGTTTCCTGAGATCCGTCTTTAGCTTTCATAAGAGTGGTTTAATGTGGTAAATTGTGTTGGTGTCTGAAAAATTAATAAGAATTTGATGTTCTGATGATAGGGAATGGTGCCAAAATCTTTTGCTACTTCTATTTTCACTTAAAAATGGGGAAAGAACTAACATATATTCTGTTTTAATGGCCCCCTTTCTTTTCATAACGTTATGTTGGTGTTTTCCTTTTATTTGCTCATTGGGGTTGGGAATGTGCTGCAGCCAATTCCTTGAGCAGTAAAGGATGTAACTTATTGGATGAGGAGTCAATAGTTCATCTGTGAGATTTTATGATATTGATTGATGACCATTTATGTAGACGTCTCTGTACTATGACCCTGAGACAAAATTCTGAAGTTGGTTTTGCTCCTGATGCATTCAACTATCCTACATTGAGAAATCTACAGCTAATGATTTTAAAAGAAGCTTTAAATCTACTATATTAATTAAGAACCATTCAAAGTTTTCAATGATAAATTTAGCTTCTTCATCTAACAGAAACCTTACATTCTTTAGCTAATAATTCATGCAGCAAGAATCATGTATATATATACTACTAATTTGATAAATAAAATTACAGAATAATATTCATTTAACTACCCACTTACTCAACAATAGCCCATTCACTAGTTTCCTTTTTTGTTTTCTTAAAAAATGGAATTTACTTTTTATATTTTCAGAAACACTTTCCATTTCCTTTTACACACATACACACGTATGTGTGTATGTTGCTAGTGAATTATGAAACAAATGGTTAGAGATTGGAAATCAATGTCTTCTTGGCCCCCTAAAAGAAAAGAATCTGTCTTTTAGTATGGTAATGTTTAGCAAGGACAAAAGTGAACTGGGATCAATAAGCTGAAATTCAACTTAAAATAGTGTTAATGGTAAATTCATGGGGAAGATCTAAGCATGAATTTGTTGGCTGACTAGAGAAGATGTAGGAACAGAAATTCATGAGTTGTAGGCTGTGCAAGGTATGTATTGGAGTGCAAATAGAATTTTGATTAATTTGAAAAAAATATTACTGAGTTCCCTAAGAAGATACAATTATGTAATAAACTCAATTAATTAGAGTTAGTAAAAAGAGAAGCGAAGAAGTATCAATTTGTGAGGCTTTAAACTTTAAGATCAGTATCCTTTTATTATCTATATGTTGCTCAAGGACTCAGAATTTTCTTTTTGTATTCTATTGTTATTGGAGATGCTTATATCACTTTTACATTTAACTTTTCTATGAGATTTTTCCTGATCGTTGATTTTTTTCAGGGTAGGCTACAGATGGATCACAAGATTTCTTGCCCTTGGTTGTTATGCACTGTTACTCATGCCGGGTTTTATTCAAGGTCCATGGTGTTAACTGGATCATTGGAAAAAGTCAACCATATATTTCCTATCTATCTATTACCAAGTGCCATTTGATTGTTGCTTTTGCTACTTGCTTTTCGCTTCTAGTAGTAAAAAGCAAAAAATTCATTTGGCCACAAAAGTAAACAATAGTTTGATGAATTAAAAACTAAAATTGTAAATATTTTGAATAAAGAATGCATGATTTTACATATATACAGAATGATCATGTTAGAATTAATGTTTGATTTTAGTCGTTTGGTCATTTCTAATCAATTATGATTTTGCTTTATAGCAATATTTTTGGAAGCAAAAGGAAAATGGAAAAAAGCAAGCAGCAAAAGTAACAACCAAACAAAGTCTTAAGTTTTGACACCGTGTCTTGTATGACATCTGTCATCAGTTTATATTTAACTTATGGATCTGAAATAGCATAACAAGCCTACTCGTCTTTTGCAGTTGGTTATTACTACTTCTTCTCCAGACAGGTCCGTAGGAGCATAATATATGGTGAACAGCCAAGAAATAGGTATAGTTGGTGGTCTTTGTCAATTTCTTGTGCATTCCAAGCAATTAATATGTATATCATTGCAATTATATTAGAATTTCAGTCATGAGAGCTTAAATTTTGTTTACAGGCTTGATCTTTATTTACCTAAAGACAGCCAAGGGCCAAAACCAGTGGTAGCTTTCATAACTGGTGGAGCCTGGATAATTGGGTGAGTGATTTGTTGTATTTTGACGTTGTACGTTTGGACATGTCGTAGAAATTTTTGATGTACCAGCAGCTAGCTCCCTTTTAGTTTTATTGGAAGATTAAAGCTTCTATTTTGTTGTGTGATCGGACTGAAAGATACCTGAACTATTCGTAGATGATAAGTAATTGACATAAACAGATGGGGAAGTACATACTAATCACTTCTCCTTTTTCTTTACTGTTTCCAAAGCAGGTTCTGATCACTTTTATGGCTACTCTCTCTGTTGTTATATTTATACCCTTTTTGGCTCCTCTTTTGATGCATGCTTGCTATCCTTGATCTGCTTCATGGAGTTTTTTTTTTTTTTTTTCTTGATGCAGTTATAAAGCATGGGGTTCTCTTTTAGGTCAACAGTTGTCAGAAAGAGACATCATAGTGGCATGCATAGACTACAGGTGAAATATATCCCTTTGAGGCAACGTTCTGTCATAGAACATGACAGTATTTTGCTGGATCAATAGTTAATTATAATTCTTGATAAGTTCTCTGATTGACACGCTGCTACTTGCATTAAATTGTATTTTGACCTTCATATTGTATGCTAAAGAGAATTTATAACTGTATCATAACTGCTGTTATAAGCTAGCCTTTTAAGCATTTCAACAATTACATCTAGAAACCTTCATGATTTGGTAACTGCAAAATGTAACCTATTCTCATCTTTTATCACCAGCAGGGCTCATGTCTTAGTAGATGTTATTTACTGATTTTTTCTTGGTTTTTTTAGTTTTAAAGTTCTTGGTGGGGCAGTTATTTGTCTATTTGGGCATGCGATGATCTTACAATACAATTTCATTGTTTTATTTTCACTTGGTCCCACCTCAAACTTCTTGCGAATGCCTTACCTGTAATTCATTTTTGTTGACTTTACTGTTGCCTTTCGTCTTCCTTTACAAATATCTTTTGTTCTCAAATTTGAATTTAACTTTTCTTGATCAGCTATCATCTTCATATGAATCATTGAATTTCATTGGATCTGGAGAAAGTCTGTTGAAAATTAAAAGAATATATGCCTGTCTCTTTTCTTTCATTTCTTTTCCTTTTCCCCCTTCTTTGCTCCTTTGCTCTTTCCTAGTTTCTTTCTTTTGAAAACTTGAAGGTGGTTAGGGTACCGATTAGCAAGGAAAATATCTAACTGGGGACTGTTACACTTGCTTTGTAATGGTATTGGCATCTGAAAGAATTTTGATGCACTCTGAACACATTTAAAAGGCTGCATTTGTTTTTAATTGTTCATGATAAGTAGCGTTTGTGTTTTTATCTCCAAAATGACTATAATCTCCATTTTTCATCAAAGTTGGCAAGTTATATTTTGACAGAGGATTTTGAACTAAAAATTTATGTATTGCACAATATGTAATTCCTTGGATAATAATTTTTTACTGTTGGATTAGCTACAATATGACCACTTTATGTGGTGTGATGATATTTGGATGTTATAAGAATCAGTCCCTTGATACTGCTCTGGATGACGCCTCTCTGTAGCTAATTTTTGTTTGAATTTATGCTTCAAGTGTGTAACCTTCCTTCTTCTGATAATTGGAATCTGCACGCAGAAATTTTCCACAAGGCACAATAAGTGACATGGTTAAGGATGCTTCTCAAGGTATCTCATTTGTTTGCAATAATATTGCTGAGTATGGAGGTGATCCCAACAGGTATGGGTCATGGGATTAGTAACATTTCCATTTTAATTCAGTTCATTATATTTAGTATTCTGTTCATGCTTTGTCTCGCCAGGATTTATCTTATGGGACAGTCAGCTGGTGCGCATATTGCTGCTTGTTCACTTGTTGAGCAGGCAATCAAAGAGGCCGGTGAAGGCGACAGTGTTTCTTGGAGTGTGTCCCAGATAAATGCTTATTTTGGTTTGTCTGGAGGGTAAATATTTATTAAAAATTTCGTACCATTGGAAATTTTCTTTTCAGCACGTAATGGACATGGGCATTCTAACAAAACTGCTCAATTTTTGTCCTTCTGTTCCTGAAATTTAAATTGATGATGAATATAACTTTAGTAGTAAAAATTGAATAGTTTTTGGTTTCAAAATTTCACTCTTAATATATATTCAAGCAAATATTAATGTAATAAAAGCAGTTCCCTTTTTGTCATTATTCTGTGATGCTCAATTATCATTAACATTCCCCGACAGGTACAATCTTTTTAACCTTATCGATCACTTCCATAATCGAGGTTTATACCGTTCGATTTTTTTAAGGTCAGTAATTTCATTGTAAGTTATATACACAAAACCTTGTTTTGTCCTATTATCTGCTTTTTCCCTAAGTTGAACAAATGTCTTTGCATTTTCATATAGCATAATGGAGGGGGAAGATTCTATGCGTCGATTCTCTCCTGAAGTATTGGTACAGGACTCGAACATTAAGCATGCTGTTTCTCTCCTTCCTCCTATCATTCTTTTTCATGGTACAGGAGATTATTCCATTCCTTCAGATGCCAGGTTCAAATCTCCTCTTTGATGAATTACATGATTGCATAATTAATTATCAATTTTGTGGATTATGAATGTTAGATCAGGTTACTGTTTTGTCATTCTCAGCAGTATTGAGATGCTTTTGGAGTAATAATTGTTGCATGGTTAGGCCATAAGTTATTCAAATGTTCCAAGTGATTTATACAAACTTCTTATAGCATGTTTCCCATGCAGTAAAAATTTTGCTGATACTCTTCAAAGACTTGGAGGGAAAGCAGAATCCGTATTGTATGAGGGAAAGACTCACACGGATTTGTTTCTTCAGGTAATGGAAGATGTAACAATGCTCTGTGTGTTAGATGTACCAGTGCGCTTTCTCTGCAGACTTTGCTGACAGTAGATGTATATCCTCTTGATATGTTTGGTCCTTTAAACTAAGAGCCCGTTTAGTTTTAAAAAATGTTTGAGGTCCTTTAGTTTCTAGTAAAATGTTCTGGAGTTTAGGAATGAGGGTTTTAAGGATGGGGAAGGCTTGTTTAGCCTAGACCTAAGAGCAGAAAGGAATGCATGATTTGTATACTATCTTCTATTGAGCACCAACTTGTCTTGTTAAGTTTGCAATTGTCTCTACACATAAGCCTCAGAACTCAGGATCTTTTGCCATTGATATGTCACTTTCACTGAGGAGAAATATTTACATGTTATATATTTGGCCGACATATTATTCAGGATCCCATGAGGGGTGGCAGAGATGAGATGTTTGAAGACCTTGTTGCCATCGTACATGCTGGTGATGAAGATGCCCTTGCAAGAGATGCAGTGGCTCCTCCAAGAAGACGCCTTGTACCTGAATTCATGTTGAAATTGGCTCGTAGTGTCAGCCCTTTCTAGCCATTTGACCATTGCTCATCTGTCAGCCCCGAAAGGCATATACTACCAAATGTACCCATGTGTATATCACAATGGAAATATATTTACTTTGTAGATAATCTTTACCAGGCTTATTTTCCCCTCCTTTCTATTGTCCTTGGTGAAGAGGTTACCTGGCATCAATTGTGGGAGAATGGGTATATTACCATAGAATGTAGGTAGGTAGCTATCTCTTAAAAATTTGGGACTAAAGTAGTGGAAAACTCAACATGGCATTGCTTCGCTATAGTTTTGAAGGCCCAAATGTCATATTCGGCTAGGCCTGAGCCATATGTAATATTCTGTTTTAAAGGTGAGGTTATCATCGCTGGGGGCTACAGTTGTAGAACGTCCAGCAGCATTTGTTTCTTCCTTGTTTTGCTCAAGGAAGAAGTGTAAAGCTGAAACCCACTAACAATATGATATGTTAGATTGTAGACACGCCGTTCTATGATGCTTCTTTCTTTCTCTTTGTTCCAGTTTTAGTTATATATATATATAAACAAGTGAAACCTGAAAATTGATGAAATGGAAGTACTCTGAGGCATGAGGCATGCATCAAAGGCTATACGAATGTCCCAATCATATGTATCAATAAAAGATTGAATAGATTTTAGATATATAAATATGAGTTTTTTTTTATTTATTAAATATGTATTTTAAACTAAAAATTGAAATCTGTGACATATACACGTTGAAACAATTCCATAATGGCCTTTCAAATAGATTAAGTCTCATTTTTTAACTAAAATTTTAATCTTTAATGAGTTGAATTGTTCCAAAAAATAAAAAGTTGATGGTGCTACTATAAATTCATTCCCTTGCCGATGCTATTTTATTTCATTAGCGCAATCTTGTCGAATTGTAACTTACAAGAAACCTAATAATCAACTTGCCCTGCTCATGAGCCATAACATAAATAAGTAGTAACAATATTTAGATATCCAGGATCTCTAATCGTAAGAAAATCTGCACTTGAATTGCCAGGCAGCTAGTGCTTGCTTGCTGCTTTCCCACCGTTGCCCTGCAGATGAAGCATAAATCAAGCATAGGATGATTAATGGTAACACAATGACATGTGTGAATGCATTATTTTTTTCATCCATGAAAAGGGATAGATGGTATAAAATAAAATGAAAGAAAAGAAAAGGGTACTTTTTCTTATGGCATGATAATATATATGTTACCTTCTTCTTACTAGGTTGCTGAGGCTTTTGAGCAACACCCTTTTTGGGTGCGGGTTTGGAGGCTCCATCACCGGCCTTGGCAGGTTCCTTCTTGACCTGGCCAAAGAGTTGCGTGCCAACGGGTTTCTCAGCCTTGAGTGATGCCATTGCTAGACTACTAGTAAAAGAAACAGACTAGATATATATTGCTGTTTTCTTCCCTAATTCTATGGTCTGTATATATAGAAGACTTGCACTTAAGCGTGGCAAAGGAATTAGAATCGCTGAGCAGAAGGTGATAATTAGTGGATGGTGGAAGTTGAAGACAAGAAATGGAATAACTGACCTGGACAGCAACGTAACTTCAAGTCTTATTTTTTTACAGAATCAGATGCTTTGCTTAGAATATTTTTGGGCTGATATTGCTAGTATATATATATAACTCAATTCTACGCAAGAATATAAAGATTGTGATTTGTAAAGGAATAATTAGGTTAATATCAAGATGAAGCAATTGACAAAAGCAATAAGCACGCATACAAAATAATTTTGAATGAATATTGATGGTATTAAAGCTATTATTATTATTATTTGTAGATCTAGTAGTGATAAAAGGGCGGCCGGCCGGCCGGGGAGGGGGAGCTAGCAATTAATTAATAATCGGTGATTTTCGTTTCTGTCAAAATTATCTTAATTAGTTTGGGTCTTTCTCCATCATCATCATCACCATCACCTCTTCTTTTTCTTCGGCTTTACTAATTTCTTTCTCTTCTTTCTTTAAATTAAACCTATCCTTATTTGTTTTGTTTTGCTAAGTTTCAAGCAAGGCCTTTGGGTAGAGATGGAAACTAACACATTTCTCAACTTGTGTTTCTGTCGTTAGAACAGATCATGGCATTGTTAAGTATGACCAGCCCTCGTCTCCTCTCCTCTCCATCTCTTGTTCCATCTTCAGTTCCACATCATATTAGTACAAGGTCCTCAAGCATTGCCCCGCTGCTGGTGGAGAGAAAACGTGAGTATGAGTTTTAAGTTTTGTTTTGTTTTTTCCCCCCCTTTTTTTTTCCAATTTTAAGTATTATTTTATTATAATTTAAATTTTGATTATTTCATATGTAAATGTATTCTAACATTTGATTAATTAGTTAATGCATATTTGAATCCTTTTTCCCAAATTCAAAAATAAATATATGTAAATATATATATATGCCACATATTGGAGAGTTTATTTTGTCATTTTTTTTTCAAAGGCAGTGAAAAAAAGAGAAGACTTTTTTGATTGCTTTTTAGATATTTTCAATGATTCAATTGAATGTTTCCACCTATGAATAATTGTAGTTTTAATAAAATTGAATATCAAACTCAATCTATAATGATTAAAGAGGAAACACGAAAACTTTTTGGCAATTATATATATATATATGTATGGAGTAACTTTTTATTGATTAGGTAAAGCTTAAAAAGAGAGACATATTCATGCATATATATAAAAATAATTACAAGGCAAGAGCTTTGCAATATTTTTTGTAATTCCAACAATGATCACCATCCTGAACACTTTTAAGTTCCAGCGCCATGGCCTGTTCATGAAGCTCTTGTCTTCCTATTCCTACTTGGCTACTTTAGCTGCTGACTTTGCTCCCGATGCCTGCCAATTCATCCATAGGAAAGGTTGAGACACATCAGTCACACAAGAATAATAATTAGAGCAACAAATTTAGTATCAATTACCTGTAGAAAATTTATTGATTAATGCATGAGTCTCATGCGTTTAACTAATTATTAAAAGTGCATTAATTGGAACTAAGCTCCCAATAGCTTGGAAAAGTCGATTCGTCAATTTGCTATGGGAAGTGAATAAACAGAAGGATACATGTACCTTCTTTTTAGGCTCCCGAGGCTTCTGCTCCGTCTTCTTAGGGGCCGGCTTGGAGCTCGGAGCTTTGGGTGCACTGCCGCTGGGTTTGGTGGGCTCCTTCTTGGCCTGCCCTGACCCCGAGGGTTGAGTGCCAACAGGTTTCTCAGCCTTGAGTGATGCCATTCTCCTTTCCTGTCCGGCTAGCTACCACAGAAATTAACCAGAGGTGCCTCTACCTTAATTTGTTGGACTCGAGTTGTAGCACAAATTAACCGAGACAAACTCAAATTTATAGTTGAGATTTAGGAACCAATATCAGTGATGAGTGAGTTCAACTTGGTGGAGGCATGGTGGATTGGTGGGAGCTTACAGAATAGAATAACCTTGCGCTGGAGAGCTAGGTGTTGGGGAGATGCTCATGCTTGTATCAGATACCCTTGCTTTGGCATATTTCACTCTCATTATTCATTAATAATGGATGCTTATTCTAACTTCTAAAACAAGGCCAAGTAGCTCTCAATCAGGACGTGAGGGCATCATTTAACCATCTACTTGACATGACTAACTCAGATTTTGTTCTGCAATTTTTATTGATACCTGCATGATCATAAAAATTTTAAGGCTCTTTTTGTTTCTCATTTTTACTTTTGTTCTTTTTTTTTTTGAACTTCTACTTTTGAAATAGAAAAACCAAAAATCGGTATAGCTAAAGATCAAAAAACTTAATGTGTAGTACAATCTTCATTGAATTGGGAAGCAAGAATAATCTGGGATAAGTTTTTCTCATCTCAAAAATCTCATGCTCGATGACATGATAGGCCTCTTATAATTCATCCTTCCTTGGGATGTCTTTGTTTTGTTTCTTTCTGATTTTTCTATGGCCTGTTCTGCGATCTGGTTTTAAGCTAATATTTATGGTTCGTATTAGAAGAAATAGTTATCAAGTGTCTTGATTCTATTCCATCTTGGCCAATTGCTGCTGTTTCGCATTTTCCATTATGAAAAGAATTATTTCATTCATTAAATTATTCAAAGAATCAAATTAATTATTACAAGTACAGTAAGCAGCAACTTTGGGGAACGATTAGCATTCTTCACCCCTTTTAGGGAGCTTAATCTTACAGAGATGGGAGTTATCCAAGCACTGGTTAACTTAACTGTCTCTTTTGAGAGAATGTTTCTCTTTTCTGTCTTACCGTTAATTACCCAATTCTCCTCTGATAATGCGATACATTTGGTCTAAGACCATGAAAAAGATTCTTATAATGATTAACCCACTTTACCAGCACAAGTTCCATGTAAATAGACAACAAAATTTCCAATCTTTAATTAATTAGGATGACCTGAATCTTATAATAATGTGACAAGAGATGTCTTGAATGATCACAGATTCTGTCAGAATTCATGATTATGCAATCAAATTGCAGACCATCTTCATCAATTTCCCTTCTTTCAACAGGTAAATTGCTGGAGGAGCAATTGACAGATACATATGGTCAGTGAGGTTGCCCAATTCTCAGGGCCACATAAGCCAGGAGCCTATATCCCACTAGCATTATTGTCAAAGCAGCGACATCCCACAACTTATTGTCAAGACCAAGATACTTGATTGCAGGAAAATCCATTACCTTGCAATGCATCCCAATCTCACACTCGTACACCTCCTTCACTGAGTACTGCACCCCCACCAGCAGCTTATAGCAGTAGTGACTAAAAGAAATGTACTTCAACCAAGCTATGAAAAGAGGAATGTGCAGAATGTAGTATCCACCGGCTAATAAAAACACAAGCATTGTCACAGAAGCTAAGGTAGTACCCTGTTTTACGTCCATCAGAATGGCTCCCAGTGCCAGTCCTAGCCCTTGAGAGACCAGCACGTTGAACAGTATGATTAAGAGGGTTAGTACAAATGTGACTAGTGATGGCTTGAGGCCGCCCATCCAATATGTGACGGTAACAAATATTGTTGGAAGAACAAGCTCCATTGGCAAGTCACCAGCTGTTCGCGCAAAGTAATATGAGGACAGACGGTACATCCCCGAGGCTCGCTCTTTGATTAGCATTGGCCGCTCTTGAGGAAATGCGAATATGGCATTGAACAGAGGGAAAAAACCCCAGAATATTGAGAAGAAAAACAGCAGTCCCACCTGTAAAAATATTTATTTTGTCATCAATGTTTATTGATCCTGATATTCAGCCTAATTGAAAATATAAATTCAGTAGATCCTTTAATTTCATAACGTCCAGATAAAATTTCCTAGGGTCTGTTTCTGGGAAAATAGTGACTATACTTTACCACCGGTACCAAATGCCCCCCACAAGCCAAATTTCATGCTTTGGAGAGCTTGAAGGAGAGAATTCAGGATCATGATATCGATACCTGGTCTTGAATGTGTGAAACATCAGAATGCCACCAC